AGCTTTACTCTGTATCTAACCCCGTGCTGTCCCACTCCTGGGAGTGTTTGGTGGGGCGTCTGGGGACAATGAGTTTTTGCACGGTGAGGATGAAGATGAGAAGGCAGAGAGAGTGAACAGTAAAGGATTACCATTGGAGTTTTTCTCACTGTTGGGATCTTTGGGAGATCTCTCCATATCGTCCTCCTCCTGGGCTCTTCGGGAATTTTCGCTCTCAGTTTCTGAAGGCTAGACATAGCAGGTCTCAGACCCTCCTGATACTAAAGTAAAGGAGACATCAACAACAGGCTCCATTTATCTGTCGCCTTTAACACAGTAAAGCCTTCCCCAAACTGCTTCATGAGAGAATTTGACCCCATGACACGCCAGGAGATATAAGGTGAGTTGAACAAAAGTTCTGTCAAAAAGGGCAGTTTTAATGAGCATCTGAACAGAGTAAAAACACAGAGAATGAGACAGGAGGCTGAGAGGTCAAGGTGGGGAATTCCCAGAGCCCAGGGTCAAAGGAATGCTGAAACCTCGGCCACTAATCGTGGAGCGATGGGAATAAGAAGATGCTCAAGGGACAGGAATTGGAGGAAGTTACAGAGATAGGGAGGGGGTATAGGAGCTGGAGGAGCTGACAGAGATAGGGAGGGGATGGAGGGGGTGACAGAGATAGGGAGGGGATGGAGGGGATGGAGGAGGTGTAGGGGCTGGAGGAGGTTACAGAGATAGGGAGGGAGTGTAGGGGCTGGAGGGGGTGACAGAGATAGGGAGGAGTGTAGGGGCTGGAGGAGGTGACAGAGATAGGGAGGGGTGTAGGGGCTGGAGGGGGTTACAGAGATAGGGAGGGGGTGTAAGGGCCGGAGGGGGTGACAGAGATAGCGAGGGGGTGACAGAGATAGGGAGGGGTGTAGGGGCTTGACGAGATGACAGAGATAGGGAGGGGGTGTAGGGGCTGGAGTATTAAACTAAAGTATTGACAAAGTATTGGGGAAGCAATAGTTCCAGAACCACAGGGCATCCCTCTTCCAGCATTCGTCTTTTTACAAATTAAGCATGCTTTAGCTCGTTTCTCAGCTACTTTCTGGAAATCCGGGTGCCACCAGGTTTGTAATAAAGCATTAGCCATTCCCTCCTTGCCCAAGTGTGTACAATTATGGACATAATCAACTAAGATTGGTAGGAGCAAAGAAGGAACGCAAACTTGTCCCACAGGGGTCACCCATAGCTTAGTTTGAGGGTCGAGGTAGAACCCCATTTGTGCTCCTCAGCAGGGGCGTCCCCCTGTAATTTCTGTATTTCACCCAGGTCTGGCATACCGGTCCTTACACTATTTCTAACCAGGTTTTGCTGGGAATCCAATGGAACCAGAAGTACGGGGTGTAAGGCCGCCCGCTCATTGCCTTTGGAGACCGTATCTATTGCACCGGTGTGAGCCAAACATCGGATTACCGCTAGACTGGCTGGAAATTGCAAAGCCTGCAAGAGGTTATGCGCAAAAACAGCATTACTAATAGGCTGTCCCGTGGAAGTTAAAAATCCCCTATGTTCTTGGGGCTTCCAGGGGACATACACTCCAATTGTTGGTTCCTGATCGTCATCAGCGGCTCTGGGATTTGGTAACTGTCGTATTGGACACTGCAATTGGGGTCCAATTTGGAGTCCAATAACCCCGGTACAAAGGTCAGACGGTACCTGTTTTCTGGGGTTTATTTTTAACTGTTCGGCCACACTGGATCCCTCGGGAGCCTGATACAGCGGCGGGGACAGTGCAGCAGGAATAGGCGGGTGTACGGGAGGTCCTGGCAATCCAGGATAACATCCCCATTCCTCATCTCTATCGGTATCATCCCCCTCATCAAACAGGGTCGGGATCCCGAGTAGAGCTTACATTCTCTTCACAGCGCTGTTGCTTTAACCCTTCCTGTCTATCTTTCTCAGCCTTGGTGTCTTTACGCTGTTTCTCCTGTTCCCTTTTTCGCCTTCTGTCTACCCATTCGCACTCGGCTTTTAATGTCTCCCAACTTTTGGGAGTTCCACCCTCTGTACATACCTCTATCCCTCTATCACTTGCATTATTCCTCCAATTGGCCAATAAGGTATCTTTCCATTTATTATCGGCTTTATCCTTCCGTTCTTTAATTAATGATTTCCACTTTTTTTTTTCCACAATTTTCCTTCCAAACTAGGTTTACCGCCTGTTCACAAGAGGCCACATCCCAGCTCCCACCCAGGGGCCAAATCTTGTCTCCTAATCGTTTAAGCGCAGAGCTTAATTTCCGTAAATCATTTTCCTGGTCCGGTGTTCTCTCACACATACTCTGAAGGGGAGCCCCCTTTCCTGCTGTATCGAGGGATTGTCCCATTATACCCCCTTGTTAACTATTTCTTTTATAACAGTACCACAGAGGTGAGAAATTTAACGAGTCTGCCCCCTTCCTCTATCGTATTCTAATTTTAACCAGACATATCATAAGGAGGCATTTCTCTAGATCAAATCCATCAGGTAGTGGCGACCACTCCTCCTGACCGGGGTCCCCAGTCCCGACCCTTTATCTCAGGAACAATACAGAATAGCCAATGTCACCCGCAGCGCAACCTCAAACAATTTCTTACCTTATGATCCTGGTCCGGATGTTCGTTGGATCCCACCAAGGTACCAGTCTCACTGGGCGAGGGGCAGATCGTCTGTCCCAACACCAGGAGTGGTCTGAGGTAAAATACCTCGGGGGCGCCCTACCGCTCTATTATGCTCGATTCAAACTCTGGGTCACTTATTCAGCCCAGAGGAACGTTCCCTTTGTTGGGATCCGAGTCCAAAATGTTGACTCAAAAATTTCTGGACCCCACAAGAGTTCCATTAACTTCTTTATTTTAGCTTAGCCGGCGAGAGGTCCAGAGTAACAGTCAAGCTCTCACTTGGTGGACTCTCGTCGGACCTCTGTGTATAGCATAAAAGCAGTACATTTTATAGCCCTCATGTGTGTGAGTAACATATATATTTCTCTACCCGACATGACTAAATGTTATTACATCCCATACTGTTCACATGCGTCATAAGCAGTGCAGTTAATAATGTTCCATTGAATAGAGGAGGCAGCCCCAGCCGTGGGAGAAACAGCTGCAACCTTCAGCTTGTTACAAACACAGGCACACACTACAAAATTTATGGTACATCGTTATTTCAGCAAAACTTCTAACTATTGCTTCCCCCAATACTTTATCAGGAAGAGGTTACAGAGATAGGGAGGGGGTGTAGGGGCTGGAGGGAGTTACAGAG